GGTAGTGTGCTGGTCAGACCATAGTAGATGGAGTTGGTACGGTGGCTCGGCCTATGTGGACGAGGGGACACAATAGGTGGAGGAGGGAGGAGGTCGGCCCGGGCCAGGTGGAGGAGGGAGGAGATCGGCCCGGGCCAGGTGGAGGAGACAGAAGAGCGACCCGGGCCACCCACTTATCGTGTCTGGGCCCTCACCTCCTCCTCACAGTCGTTGTCTCAGTAAACGCCATTCATCCCGGGATCGATACTGACGACGGCGATTATTAGCGCCTAATAGTGGAGGGGTTAGGTGAACACTTAATTGGCCCTCCTACACCTCCTCTCTCTCTCTCTCTCTCTCTCTCTCTCTCTCTCTCTCTCTCTCTCTCTCTCACACACACACATAATTGTTGGCTTCTTTTCTCTTCCACTACTTGACTTCTCTTTGTTTCTGTTTTGTGTACGTCTGTGAACGAGTGTAGGTGTGTATCCGAGTGTATGTAAGTGTTAGTCCCTGTGTACGTGTGACCTGATCTGAACCCTGTTATCTTTCTCTTGTTTCATACTTGTTTCTGCTGTTCTCTTATTCTTTCTCCGTAAATTGCGTTATTGTGTGTGTGTGTGTGTGTGTGTGTGTGTGTGTGTGTGTGTGTGTGTGTGTGTGTGTGTGTGTGTGTGTTTAAAGTGCTGACGGTACAGTACATTATGACACAGGTATGAGTCGACTTACCATTGGAAAAAAAAGAATATATCTGGCGTAGGATGGTCATTGGTGAGAAATATATTATTGATAAAGGAGAGAAGAGTGAGGAGGGGGTGTCGGAGAGGAAGAGGGAGGATGAGGACCACTCGGGGATGTTGACCCTACAGTTCAAGAGGCTGGCTGGGAGCAGTCCACCCATTACTCTTGATTGCTCTCACCTCACCTTATCTCCTCGCTCCACCGACTCCCAGCCCCCCTACCCTTCTCCACCGATTCCTTCCTCCTCCCCTTCTTCTCTCCCTCCACCGACCGAGGTCTCCCCCTCACTCCACTAAATGCCTCCTGTCGCTTTTCCATCGTCTCTTCCCTCCTCCCCTCACCTTCCCTCAACACCCCTTCCCTCCCTCAAACCTTCCCCTCCCCACCCCTTCCCTCTCTCAAACCTTCCCCCTCCCACCCCTTCCCTCCCTCACCCTTCCCTCCCACCTCTTCCCCACCCACCCTCTTCCCTCCCACCCTTCCTCCCTCACCCTTCCCTCCCTCACCCTTCCCTCCCTCACCCTTCCCTCCCCGCCCCACCCTCACTCTTCCCTTCCCTCCACTTCCTTGTTAGTTGCTGCGTCTTCTTATGCCCTGTTAAACACACTCGTTTATCACCTATCATTATTACACAGTTACACCGGCAGCTTTACGTTAAGCGCGTCGACTACCGAACAATGTAGATCACCCTACTAAATCATATCCAATTATAATTATTGATATTTGAAGGTAAATTTGTCATACTACTACTACTACTACTACTACTACTACTACTACTACTACTACTACTACTACTACTACTACTACTACTACTACTACATTTAGCCAGTGCCTGTGTGTGTGTGTGTGTGTGTGTGTGTGTGTGTGTGTGTGTGTGTGTGTGTGTGTGTGTGTTTGACTACAACTGTCTATAAAATTTGCATCTATACAAATGTTTGTGTACAAGTTTCTATAACAGGTGTACACGTATATTGTATAACAGTTTGTGACTTAGTGTGGGAGTTTGTACACGTGTGTCTGTGTACTAGTGTTGGTGTAAGTGTTTGAATCATGTGTATGTCTGTAAGTATATGTGTAACTTGTGTGCTTATGTATGTGTCTCAGAGAACGAAAATTAAAGTCCTGTAGACGTACATGTGCGTGTATGTGATTGTGTGTATCTCGATATATGTATGTGTCTGTCTGTTGACGTGTATATGCCACAGCCGGGAGTGTATATCTACGTGTGTGTGTGTGTGTGTGTGTGTATATATCTGTGTGTGTGTGTGTATCTGTGTGTGTATCTGTCTGTGTATCTATGTGTGTATTTTTGTGTGTGTGTTTGTGCATCTGTGTGTCTGTGTAATCTGTATGTGTATCAGTGTATGTGTGTTTGTGTGAGTGCCGTGAGGTGCCTGGTGGTGACATATGTTTGAGTGGCTGCCAACGACTCTCCTAACATCAAGTCTAATTATCTCTCTCGTCAAACTTCCTTTCCAAAGCTATTGAAAGTTTATGTCGACAGCGTTACCAACTTACCCCCAGTCTCTCTCTCTCTCATTATTCAACATTTTAATATATGTTGAGTGTGCAATGAATAAAATAACAAAAAAACAACGGGATGGGGATGGTGATTGATGGTGATTGATGGTGGTAGTTGATGGTGTTGGCTGGTGGAGGGATGGGTACTACTGTTGGTAACGGTGTTTTTAGATCAGCCTCGAGGACTGTTGAAGAGTTAAGACACAACTGTTGTTACCGTTTGTACTGCGGAAATTGTAGGGGGAGGAGGGGAGAGGAGGGGGAGACAAGTTACAGGTGGGGGAAGGGGTGGAAGTTTGAGGAGGTGGAGGAAGATGTTGCAAGGAGGGGTTAGGGAGGGTCTAATGTCCGGGGGAGGGGTGGTGGGGGGCTGTGGTGAGGGTGGGGGGCTGTGTGTGGTGGTGGGGGCTGAGATGGTGGTGGGGGTTGATGCCAAGTGGGGATGTAGGGGGTATACCAGGATGGGGAATGGAGGTGAAAAGAGAGGGGTTAATGGTAAATATCCCTCCTTCCCCTTCCTGTCCCCCTACTCCCCAACACCCCCCTCTCACCCCTCCAGCTGCATTTAATCAGTGGTTGTGTCGTAAATGCTGTATTAGAGTCTGTGTGTGTGTCGTGGAAATTAGTTTGTGCGTCTGTAGGTTTAGAGTGGCTGAATGGATACTTCGCTCGTCTGCAGTTCTAAGGGATGCTAGTTCGTGCCCCGGGGTACTTCCAGTTTACTCATGTGTAAAAAGACCTTTGCAGTTGAGGAAGTGAAGGCGATCGAGTGCAGTGTCGGCAATACTGTCTCCTTGTTGGTTGAAGGATCAGTATTAAGTGTGTCGTATCTATACTGACTTTGGGGTCTTGTTTCAGTGTATATTTGTGGAGGGACTCGGAGGCTAAATGATAGGTGAAGGAAGCTAAATGATAGGTGAAGGAAGCTAAATGATAGGTGAAAGAAGCTAAATGATAGGTGAAGGAAGCTAAATGATAGGTGAAGGAAGCTAAATGATAGGTGAAGGAAGCTAAAGGATAGGTGAAGGAAAATGATAGGTGAAGGAAGCTAAATGATAGGTGAAGGAAGCTAAATGATAGGTGAAAGAAGCTAAATGATAGGTGAAGGAAGCTAAATGATAGGTGAAGGAAGCTAAATGATAGGTGAAGGAAGCTAAAGGATAGGTGAAGGAAGCTAAATGATAGGTGAAGGAAGCTAAAGGATAGGTGAAGGAAACTAAATGATAGGTGAAGGAGGCTAAATGATAGGTGAAGGTTGTAAAGGATTATTGTGGACCTTGACTACAATAAAATCTCCTTATATAAATAGGACACACACACACACACACACACACACACACACACACACACACACACACACACACACACACACACTACCTATGCCCCCTCTTGTTGCAGTAATGGCACATCATAGTAACATCACCCTTCCTCACAGTCGCTCCATAATATCACATCATCGTAAATCTCAGCACCTCACGTCACTCCGCAGCAGCCCACAGCTTGTAGTACAGTTTTATCCCACAACACAACACAACACAACGCAACACTGTAGGATTCCACAATTGCAATAGGTTATAATCCTAATGGTTTCACGTTATGTTGGGGGCCTATTAACACAGAGGCCTATTAGCACAGAGGCATATTAGCACAGAGGCCTATTCGATCGGTGAGTGGTGGTTTATAGGCGTGGGGTGGGCGCGGCGCGGGGCCCTGTGATCTATCCACTAGAGACTAACTACAAGTGTGGGAACGGCCGGCACCCATGGCTACACATCCACCTCACAACCTCTTGACTCCTTTGATATAGTTAATTAACAAGATAAATTGTAGGCACGAGTTTCTGCGCCATTCACACAGCCTAGTTTAATTAGTAATTTTATGTAAAGGGAAATACTTCAAATGAATATGCTTGTATGAGGCTGTTTGGGTAGGCCGTGTTGATGGTAGAGTCAATCAGGTCTATTTTGTTATACCACGTTTAGAGCGATGAAGATATTTAGGGAATTGTATATCTTAAGGTGATGAGACAATATGAATTACAGGAATTATTTTATCATATTTCAGGTAAAACTGATATAACGCTTGATTTATTACTATGAGTTAGGGTAATCGAGAGGAATAATGAAAAGTATTAGGGGATTCTTATTATGGTACTGTTAAAAGTGCATTACGCAATCACCAACTTACTAATAAGAATCATGTGTAAAACAATTAAGCCGCTTCAAAGTGTAATTCTTTGTTTGAACGTTTAAAAGGTGAATGGAATTAAATTGGAACACCTGAACACCACACTAGGTAAGCGATTGTATTGGCGACAATTTTTTTTTTTACTATAATACATTACATCGAAAGGTTGAATATTTGGATAAGTTATATGAAGTTTTACCTTAACATATTTGTGAAAATGTCGTGTTTTGTCGCTCTAGTGGGAAAGGTTTGTTTTTTTGGAAGCCGTAGAGGTCTTAGGTGCATAGCTAAGACGGTGTTTACAAGAGGTTAAGACAACGATGCGTGTGAGGTTAAGTAATGCTCCCTGAAAGGAATGCTTGCTGGACTTTGACACTTAGCTTGTTACTGAGTTGATCTTACGTGTAGAAGCCATGAAAGAGCCAGAGGACCGTGCACCATGCAATTCACTTTACCTGTAAGAATATGCCATGAGAGAGCCATTATGCCCTCCTCCATGTGAGTAACCTTACCTGTAGGAGTCTGCCATAGTGTTGTGAGAGTCTGCTTGGGTGCCATATGGATGATCTTACCTGTAGGAGTCTGCCATAGTGCCGATGGGTTGCGGGATGGACGGGTACATGGAGTTGAAACCAGACTGAAGGGGTAGTCTGGAGGCTGCGGCTGCGGCGGCGGTGTTAGCCATGCCCACGCCCACCTGGTCGACACTGCGGCGCTGGGTCCTCAACTTCTCCTCCCGCCGCCACTTGGCTCGCCGGTTGCTGAACCAAACCTGTACCGACAGTTGGGTAAAGAAATCCCCGTTGATGCAGCGTCAGGCCGGCCCCAACACGCAACCACACGCAAACTCACGCACGTGCACGCTAGCCACACGTCAACTCACGCGTCATGCCCACTACCACACGTCGTCCACGCTAGCCACTCTTAAACTAGTATATTCAGAGTCAGACGCACATACAGAGACTCTACCACACGCATACTCACCAAGTACTCAGAGACGCGCAGACTCGTGCAAACACATTCACACGATATTATGCGTACATGTATTGGGACGCAAGCACACGCACACATGTATACACTTCTATTACGTCTGTATATGGCCGGTTGGGTAGCGCACGTATGAACTGGGACATGCACGTCAGCACACTCATTTTAACGTGCACATATCCGGGTATATGCGTCACATACTTGCATACAAACAGACGCAACTCACTGACGTTCGCATCGTATATAGTTTAACTTTACACTAGCCAGGGGTGACAGCATGCATTTGTTTAACCATTGAAATAAACGGCTACGTATAGTTACCACTGTACCCGCCACTTCTGACCTGACTGGTAAATGTGTTTCTCTAGAGGGGGGATTCTTGTCCACCAATGACTGCTCATCCTTCACTTTATCAACTAAACCCCTTTGGTCTTAACCCAGATTTTTAACGCAGTAAATTTGTCGTTTACTCGATTAAATATTTTTTGGTTCCCGGTCAAAATAAAATAACCCCAAACAACGCCATCAGCCAGTTATTGACGTTTGGTGACCGAATGGCAAGTTTATCGGTGTACAGGTAGTTGATGCCTGCAAGCGAATTTTTTTATTTTTTTCAAGTGTGAGTTTTTAATCTTTTTCATATTATTTTATTCATATTGTAATGTATTTTTTTTTGTAGTTTTGTTTTGTTTCTTATTTGTAATTAATCTTTTGTTTTGTTAGGTCACTCAGGATGGTAAATAATTCGCGTTGTAATTGATTGAAAGATAGTTTACCAGTCTTAGGTCTACGGTAGGGCGTTGATTTTAGTGCTGACGTCTTCTGTCTTACACGCACGCACACACACACACACACACACACACACACACACACACACACACACACACCTCAAGACACATAATCTAACCAAGACACAGGAAAGGTAGAGACACTGAAACCTCACAATCATGTAGGGGAGAGAATCCATTACCGAAGGAAAATTATACCAATAAATTAAACCAGTGACGTTAGGGCGGCCTTAAATGACCTGATAAAACGGCGTGGAAAAACCTAATCCACTGTTTTGTTTTTTGTGTTTTTTAGGAAAAGATTATTATTACTGGGAATATTTAGTTAAGTTTTGACGTTAGTAATGAGTAGTTAGGGTTTGATCTTATCTCCCTTAACAACTTCCTTTTCTTGTATGTGTTTTTGTTACGGTAATTGGAGTTTTATGTTGTTGTTGTTGTTGTTGTTGTTGTTGTTCCGTGTCTCTCCCCTGATTGTTAAGGTGTCATTATTTCCGCCTCGTAACATTAAATATACATTCATCATTACACATTACAGTACACGTTATTATCCCGATAAATGAGTCGTGTTATTATATTATTCTATATTAATTAATTCTTCTTAAACCTCTACTCTTCCTCCTATTAGTGACTAAATTAACTTGTGTATTCTCTCACCTTTTTACCATTTCCTCCTTGGGTATATCACTTTATGTATCCTAAATCTGTTACAATCCTAAAATACTGTATTCCTGTATCTGTAAGTCATGAATCCTGTATTTGTCCCTCGTCGACTTGGTTGCTACGATCAATCATCCTCCTGACGCGGCTCTCACCATAGTCCACCTTCAGACACTACGTCACTAGCTCATACCACACCTGAAGGTTCTCTGTTGAGTTGTGTTTGCGTTCTTAGACTCTCCTTCAGATCAAACACCAAATTTAACCCACCTTGCCTTGTTATTGTCTCTGATCTAACACCAAATCTAACCCACCTTGCCTTGTCATTGTCTCTGATCTAACACCAAATCTAACCCGCGTATCACAACTACTAATACCTGCGTTAGCTAAACTCCTCATTAGTAACACCTTATTCCTTCTCCTCTTGTCTCCCTCTTCGGGTTTATTATCTACGTTCTGTTTACATTAGTCTTCTCATTCTTCCTCAGCACCAAGAATGACTATACACTGCCCAGTCTAATCCTCCACCCACTAAAGCGTCCTTCTCTTCTCACTGACTGACTCTAGCTGATACTGACTGACTTTAGCTGACACTGACTGATTCTGGCTGACATTGACCCCCCCCCTAATTCTCACTGACTAAAGGTTGACTCGATTGATTCAAACGGTTACACTGACTCAAGGGTAACACTGACTCAAGGGTAACACTGACTCAAGGATGAACACTGACTCAAGATGAACACTGACTCAAGATGAACACTGACTCAAGGGTTACACTGACTCAACATGAACACTGACTCAAGGGTTACACTGACTCAAGGGTAACACTGACTCAAGAGTAACACTGACTCAAGGGTGACACTGACTCAAGATGAACACTGACTCAAGATGAACACTGACTCAAGGGTGACACTGACTCAAGGGTGACACTGACTCAAGGGTTACACTGACTCAAGGGTTACACTGATTCATGGGTTACACTGACTCAAGATGAACACTGACTCAAGAGTAACACTGACTCAAGGGTGACACTGACTCAAGGGTTACACTGACTCAAGGGTTACACTGATTCAAGGGTTACACTGACTCAAGATGAACACTGACTCAAGATGAACACTGACTCAAGATGAACACTGACTCAAGAGTAACACTGACTCAAGGGTGACACTCTGCGCCTCCCCCCTACCTGTATCCGGGCCTCAGGTAGTCCAATCTTTTCCGCCAGTCGTTCCCGGGCGAACACATCTGGGTAGTGAGTCCGCTCGAACTCTACTCCGTCACCACCACCAGGGAAGGTAGAGTAAGACAGTGTGAACACAGGCACAGTTAGACCAGACGTGTAGGTGTGTGGGTGATGTGGGTGATGTGGGTTATGTGTGCGTGTGTGTTTGGAATAGAAGTGAGCTGCTGGTGTGTACGTGTTGGGTTTATGTGCGTGTTTTGGGTGAGGTGTGTGTGTGTGTGTGTGTGTGTGTGTGTGTGTGTGTGTGTGTGTGTGTGTGTGTGTGTGTGTGTGTGTGTGTGTGTGTGCGTAATACAATATAGCAATAATATAACACCTCATTGTTATAGTTAATTAATAGATGACCTCAGGTGTTTCTCTATATTTCCTATTTTCTCCCTATAAGTTTCACAGTCACTTCTATCCCATCTTTATCCTAATCTCCCCTCTCCCTTCATCCACTAGCCACTCCTATTATCCATTACTCCCTCCTTCTCTACCTTCCCTCGTCTCCACCTCCCTTCTCTACCCCACCCACCTTTTCTCTACCTACCCTCCTTTTCTACCTTCCTTTCTTCTCTCTTTCCCTTCTTCTCTACCTTCCCTCCTTCTCTCCACCTCCCCTCTCTACCTTTCCTTCTCCACCTCCCTTCACCATCTTCCCCCTTCTCTACCTTCCACTGTCTCCCCCTCCTTCTCTCCACCTCCCCTCCTTCTCTCCACCTCCCCTCCTTCACCACCTCCCCTCCCCTTCTTCTCCCCTCCTTCCTACCTCCCCTCCTTCCCACCACCTCCCCTCCTTCACTACCTCCCCTCCTTCACCTCCCCTCCTTCCTACCTCCCCTCCTTCACCACCTCCCTTCCTTCACTACCTCCCTCCTTCACCCACCCCTCCTTCTACCTCCCCTCCTTCACCACCTCCCTTCCTCTCTCCACCTCCCACCTCCTTCACCACCTCCCCTCCTTCCACCCCTCCTTCACCACCTTCCTTCTCTCCACCTCACCTCCTTCACCACCTCCCCTCCTCTCCACCTCCCCTCCTTCACCACCTCCCCTCCTTCACCCCCATCCTTCCCTACTCCCCTAAGCACCACACTTCGTCTCACCTTTCTCTAGGGCGTCGATCTGTTCATTAGTGAAGGAAGTTCTGTTTCGCTGTAGTTTTCGCTTAAGCCGCAGACGAAGCTGTGAGTCCTCGTCCGTGCTAGAGTTGTGCTCGCTGTTGCCGTCACTTGTCACCTCGTTGTTGTTGTCTGACGGCGAGAATAGTCCTGCGGGAAGAGAGAGAGAGAGGTGGTGTTTAGTAATGGATGTATGGCCTGCGGGGAGAGAGAGAGAGAGAAGCGTGAAGCTGATGAAAACAGTCCTGCGGGAAGAGAGAGAGAGAGGAGGCGTTAAGTGAAGGTCTTGAAGCTGATGACCCTTTAAAACCACAGCTAAAGTGACAAATAAGCCAGATATTGATAAGTTAAGCTTCAAAACCACAGCTTAAGTGATGATACGCCAGATATTGATAAGTTACGCTTCAAAACCACAGCTAAAGTGATAATACACCAGATATTATAAAGTTACGACTCAGAGCCTCAACTTACGTGATAAATACGTCAGATGTTCATAAACTATCGCCACCAAACACCAAGTGAGGAAGGCGGAGAACTGCACAATGAAAGGGCAGAAGGAAGGAGAATAGGAGAAGACAAAGAGGATTATAGAACAAGAGAAGAAAACAGTACTAAAAGGAAAAGAAGATAAAGGAAACGAGAAGAATACAAGACGAGGAACAGAAGAGGAAAAGGAGATGGAATAAGAAAAGGGAAAGGATAAGAAAAATACGAAAATCAGACAAAGAGGAACAAATGGAAAAGGAGAGGGAAATGATAAGAAAGCACGAGAATCAGAAGAAGGAAAAGAAGAGAGAAAGGATATGAAAAAAGACGAAAATCAGACAAAGAAGAACAGAAAAAGGAAAAAAAAATGGGATGGTAAAGGATACGAATGAAAATCAGACCATCTTGCCGCAATCCGGTTAGGTCATGAGTGGTGAAAACTTGGACTGAGACAAATTGGTAGCGTGTAGTGATGCCGACAACAGCAAGTTTAAATGAGGACTACATGGTTTAAAACTACGGCAAGTGAACAAGTAAACAAGGAGGAGGAGAGATGATGATGATGATTAAGACGGAGAGAGACAAAGGAGATTGAAGAAGAAGGGATAGGTGGTGTTGAAGAAGAAGAAGAAGAAGAAGAAGAAGAAGAAGAAGAAGAAGAAGAAGAAGAAGAAGAAGAAGAAGAAGAAGAAGAAGAAGAAGAAGAAGAAGAAGAAGAAGAAGAAGAAGAAGAAGAAGAAGCTGTGATGATGAAGATAAAGAGAAATACAAAAGAGAAAGGCAGTAATAAAAAAGAGACATATAGAGGAATGTTAAAAGAGAAATGCAAGAAAAACAAGAATGAGAATGCAAAGAAGAAGGAACTAACGAAGAGAAAGAGGAGGAGAGAAGAAGAGGAGGAGAGAGAGAACAGGAACAAGAGGACCATCACGCCGCAATCATGTTAGCCAAGTGCCGCAAAGACTTTCCTCAAAGACAAATTGGTGGCGTGTGCTGGTAGATGCTAGCGACCGCAAGTTTAAATGAGAGACTCCCAGCCTCCACCCCGAGAGTCTTCAAGCAACACCATAACACTTTACGACAGAGAGATAATATAAAGAGGGGGAGGAGAAGAAAAGGAGGAGGTGGAGAAGGAGGAGAAGGGGGAGGAGGAGGAGGAAGAGAAGGGGGAGGAGAAGAAGAGGGGGAGAGGAAAATATGGTTTATATTTACAAGTTTGCTTCATTCAGATCCTTCTCCACATTGCTACCACTATTATTGGAATCAGTACTACCACCGCTACTACTACTACTACTACTACTACTACTGCTACTACTACTACTACCACCATCATCATCAGCAGCCTTACCATCACTACCACTCTTACTAAAACCATCACCATCATCACCACTACTACCAACATCATCTGTCTGTCTGTCTGTCTGTCTGTCTGTGTGTCTGTCTGTCTTCATCTTGTTTATGTTGAGAGAGAGAGAGAGAGAGAGAGAGAGAGAGAGAGAGAGAGAGAGAGAACAAAGGGGAGAGACGGAGTAGACAGATGACAGGAAGATAAAGAGGGTAGATAGGAAGGAATAGAGAGACGGTAAGAGAAGAGGGGGAGACAGACTAATGACTCAAAGGAAATGGGAAGAGGAAATTCGATCATCAAAACACATGATAAAAAGTAATAAAATCCCCAAGAAATTTATTCCCTAGAACCACAGACCGTGACGATACACCCTTTATCACCCCCCCCCCTCCCCCAGCTCCTTCCTCTCTCTCCCTCAGTACCTCCCTTCTCTCCCTTGGTACTGATTTTCTCTCCCTTGGTACTGATTTTCTCCTTCAGTACTCATCTTCTCTCCCTTGGTACTCATCTTCTCTCCCTTGGTACTCATCTTCTCTCCCTTGGTACTCATCTTCTCTCCCTTGGTACTCATCTTCTCTCCCTCAGTACCCGCTTCTCTCCCTTGGTACTCATCTTATCTCTCTCAGTATCTCCCTATCTCCCTCGGTATCCCTTCCTCCCTCAGTCCCCTATTTCCTTCAGCTCCTCCCTCTCCCTGCTCTTCTCCCCACCTCATGCGCCCCTCCTCCCTCCTCCCTCCACCCTTCCCCCTTCATTCCTCCTCCCTCCCTCCCTCCTTTCATCACCTCAACCCCCTCCCTCCAACTCCTCTCCTTCCCTCCCCCTCCCTCCAACTCCCCTCCTCCTTCCCCTCCCCCATCCCTCTCCTTCCCTCCCCTCCCTCTGTCCCTCTCCCTCAACTCCCTCTCCTCAACTCCCCTCTCCTTCCCTCCCTCCCTCCAATCTCTCCTTCCCTCCCCCTCCCTCAACTCCCTCACCTTCCCTCCCCTCCCTCTCCTTCCCTCCCCTCCCTCAACTCCCTCTCCTTCCCTCCCCTCCTCAACTCCTCCTTCCCTCCCCATCCCTCCTTCCTCCCCCTCCCTCCAACTCCTCTCGCCCCCTCCCTCAACTCCTCTCCTTCCCTCCCCATCCTCCCTTCCCTCCCCTCCCCTCCAACTCCTCTCCTTCCCTCCCTCCCAGCTCCCCTCTCTTCCCTCCCCCATCCCTCTCCTTCCCTCCCCCTCCCTCCAACTCCCCTCTCCTTCCCTCCCTCTTTCCCTCTCCTTCCCTCCCCATCCCTCTCCTTCCCTCCCCCATCCCTCCCTCCTGCTCCTCTCCTTTCATAATACAAAAATCTGCACAAATAGCCCCCCCTAATGGAAGAGCAATAGAGCAAGGCTGTAATAACTTTTAATATCACTCGTAAGGCAACAATTCTATCAGGTTGAAGGGGCTCTCAGGTTGGCAGTGTTGAAGGAGCTCTTGTCTAGCTGATGGGCGCCTTGTTTCTAGGGTGAGGTGGGGTGCAGGGGAGGGGGGTGGGAGTGGAGTAGAGGTGGGGTAGGAAGTAGGGAGGGGTGGGATGGGGTGGGGTGGGGAGTGGTGGGGTGGGGTGGGGGAGGGGTGGGGTGGGGTGGGTGGAGGCCATCTTTCTCTCATTCTCTGATAGCAATTATCAAAATAAAACACACAATCAATATTTTTATTCGCGGGAAAATTGGTGTTTTATTTTTCTTCTCCACTGGACGTAATTGCTCATTTGAAGTGCATTTGGATTTTTTTGTTTTAAATATTTGTATAATTTATGATTTGATTTGTTTTACTTGTTTGTTTTTGTTTGATTCATTGTTTATTTTTTATTCCTGATTATTATTTTTTTTTATTAATTTTTTTTTCTGATTATTATTATTAATTTTAGTGTATTTTATTGTTATTTTTATTTAAATAGTGAATAATTAATACATTTTTAGTCTTTATATTAATTATTTACATATCAGTTCTCTTCAGTAAACAACTCTATACGCTAAATCACACCTTTCTAAAAAAAAATCCCCTCAAATACGAATAACAATAACAGTCAAGTCAAGAAAGGCGGACACTGGATTGGGTAAACTCAGCCGAAACATCACTTGGGTCACCGCTAACAGCACAATGGAGCGTTTTAGCGTGAAATTGTAACAGGAGCCAGTGTGAATGTTAGTCTGGTACTCGCTGTGAAGTTATACATTATTAGTATCTTAGTTTTCATCAGCCTCTGCCAACACTCTTTATTATTATTATTATTATTATTATTATTATTATTATTATTATTATTATTATTATTATTGTTATTATTATTGTTATTGTTATTATTATTATTGTTGTTGTTACCAGCCTGGGTACTTGTATTACTATCACTATTCGTCATTATTACTACTACTACTACTACTACCACGACCACCCCTGTCTATCACCACCATTACAATTATTACCATCACCAGCAGTACCTACCATTCCGACCATTATTACTATCACTACCACCCGTACTATTACTATTACCACCATCCCTACTACCACCACCACCACCACCCGTACTATTACTATTACCACCATCCCTACTACCACCACCACCACCACTCGTACTATTACTATTACTACCATCCCTACTACCACCACCACCACCAACTTATCAACCACTACTACCACTATCACCATCATCACAACACCACCACCACCACCATCATCATCATAAGCATACCTGCGTAAAACGGGACAATGAGGTCGTTATATCTCTGCGTGTGTATGGAGGACTAAACAGTGGGGTAAATACCAGCTTTCCTTCCCCGTGTTAACATTCGTCCTGGCGGTGACGAGCTGACCACGCCTCAACAATCATCACAAATAAGTAAATAAACAAATAAATAAAAATAAAAATACTACCTCCATCCTGGGCTGCTGTCCATCACACCTACCCTGCCATCACCTGCCCCCAAGCATCACTCAATTCTGCCATCACCCACCCCTGCCATCAATTTCCACCCCAAGCATCACCTACCCCTGCCATCACCTACCCTTGCCATCACCTACCCCTGCCATCACCTACCCTTGCCATCACCTACGTTTTGGATTCCTATTTTGCATTTTGAATTCAACTCATAGCTTACAAGTTGGGTTTTGAAGATGAATAAGACTGATTATCCTGTGTGTGTGTGTGTGTGTGTGTGTGTGTGTCAAAAATGTTTACTTCCCAGCTTGTTTACCTCATATAAACTTCACCGAAATAACTATAAAACTTTCCTATTTTGTTTCACTTGTAAAATTACTTAAAATTCACAAACACAAGATTTTATGGTATTTC